CTAAGTTGAAGTTAGTCTTTTCTGTTTATCCTAAACAGAAGGGATCCATGTGCACATGCTTATTTTGATACGTTAATGCATAATAAATTTCATATAGAGAAATATATCTTTTTATTAGTCTTCTCTTTTCAAAATAAATGGACTTTTTCTCACATTTGTTTTGGTAAATGTAATCAGTGGAAACATGCTAATAGCAACATGCAGCCCTATCAGGGAACAAATATGAAAAAAGAAAAAGAAAAATATTAAAGACACCATGAAAACCTGCCAAAGCTCATTAGTTGGGCTGTAAAGTCAGATACCCAAGCCAGGTACATTACTGATGTACAGTTACATACCACATTTTGACCTATATTTATTTACATTTTTAGTGAACTGGCACCATTAAGAGTAATTGCTCACACTGATACTGAAGAAAACTTTTCTGGACATCAGACATTAGGACATCCTCAGGAAGTGTGAGCCACGCTGAATAATATCATGTCACATTTGTGTGTTCAGTTTTGACAAAGTTAAGACTCTGAGAGTATGATTTTTGACTCCAATTCACTTTACATTACTGCATTCTGTCTGTCCCTCCTCACCATAATTAATGTCCATGTTTAGTACAGACAACATCCTGTAATTCCCCAGTGATTAAAATGCCAGAACAATGAGTTTAATGACCAAGAAGCACAGTGAATATTTGAATATTTGCTAAGCTACTTTGTATATACTAGTTACTTTCAATAGGGTAAGGTGGTCACTATATGTCAGATGTTGTGTTTACAAGTTGTTCTGGTGTTGCCAGGTGGCAGTTTTAATATCCAGTGTACTTTAGGGGATGCTGTCTCTCACTGTCAGCAGTGGCTGTTTGCTGCACTGACCTGTTGACTAGATAGTCCCAGTTAAGTGTGGTCCAGTCCCAGGCCATGCTCTGTCCCAGTGGGTTGTATGACACATACCGCACCACAGTGAACAGATCCTGACTCCTCACGATACTCTCATCCTTAGTAGCCTCCAGAAGCCTGTTGGGCAGAAACAGTATTACTGCTCCTTTGCACTACTGCTGCTGGAACACTAGAACTTCCTCACTGTTGGATCAATAAAGTTCTACCCTACCCTACCCATGATGAATTTAAAGCTGCACATCCAGTGTCCTAATCAAACTAAAAGAAAAAGCAGAGCTACAATACAGAAGAGTGTTGCACATCCTGTCACTGAAACACCGTAAACTGACTAAGTTTTTTCTAATTAAATTGTAGCTCAAAAAAAAAAAAAAAATCTAAACTAAAAGCTCAGTAACAGGAATGTTTTTCAATCGAAATGCACATCCATGCTCAAAATTCAACATTTTTATGTGTGCATTATCAATGTCTCTTAAACTGAAATGATTTTCTTCTTCTCAGTTTTCTCTTTTTATTTTTCCTGTTCCTAAAAGAGAAGTCCAAAACTGTCTACTAAGCAGCGAGTTTGGAACAAACCATGCAGAAGAAGCACAACTTCCTGAGGTTGAATCTTTTTACCACCACTTAGATCAGTCCAAAGCATGATTTAAAGGAAAACCAAACTAGCTTTTGCTTTCATGCTTCTGGCATTTAGTTCTGTCAGTTATAAAAGACTATTCATCAAAGTAAATTCTGAGTTTTTGTAATCATTATATAGATTCGGTGGTGCAATCATGATGTATGTCCAGTCGGGCAACAAACACAAGCAGTTATACAATTAAACAGACTGGAGACAAAGTTATTTGAGGAGAAAACACAGCTGATCTGTGCTGTGCGATCAGCTATATCTACATTAAAATAACCACAAAGAAGGAAAAAATGAAGGTTGTCTTTGCTGACACAAACCTCAAAAGAATGTTTGAGGGTACAGAGAGTGCTTGACATTGCCGCCACTCAAACCCTGACAGTTTTGCAAAAGCCCAGTTTGCCCTGTTGCCTACACACTGAAACATTAAATTGATTTAATTAAAGATTTACATTTGAAATTTGTTTTGGATAAGCTTACCCAAGAATACAAACTAGTTGATAAACTTGTGGATACAGGAATAAGATAGCAGGTAAAATGGGAGGTTTCAGATATTGCACTCCCCATTTTACCTGCTATCTTATTCCTGTATTCCTGTATCAGGCCAGACATCTAGTATAGATTAGATGTTTTAATTACTTGTACAGAAGTCTCACGTCCTCCACAGAAGCCAGTCCATACAGCAGCTTGTCCTTCTCTTGAGCCAAAGAAGTCTCTTTGTACCTCTGGAACATTGTGTTCCACTTTGCTTCACTGCCTGATTTCTTCATGCCATATTGATAGACCAGCAGCCTCAGGTTCACTGCTACACTGCTGTAGGTCAAAAGGTCAAGAGATGTTAATGTCAGGTTAACAGAGATTAAAAACTTCAGTGTAAAACAATAGCTGTGTTAAAAATATATTGTTGTATGGTGTTCTTCTTGTTCTCATAGAAAACTGATCAAATGTTTATAGTGGCAGCTTGTCATCATGTTGCAACACAGTGGAGTAAAAAAAAAAAGGTTAAAAGAAACTGTCCTGCATTTTGGAAAGTGCTCTAACTAATTTCTTTTCAGCGTCTTGTGAGACTCAAAACAAACTGACACCATAGGCCACTCCCAGTGTTGTGCATGAACACGGGCACCGTTCATCGGAAGCACAAATTTTTCCTTGAATGTAAACTGAACTTTGCAACTAAATAACAGGAATATGCAGGGTGGTAATCTGAAAAGCAAAGGTTTTGTTCAGGACTGAGGATGACTGTAACACCAACGCACTAAAGCAAAGTTTCCACTACAAACTCTAGGATTGCATTGTTACTTGTTATCACAGAGCGACACACCTCCCACTTGCAATGGCACCCCCAAGGAGTAGCCAAGGGGGCCATGGCCTCTTTCTAAATTTTGCACTACAATATAGTATCTTTACCTTTTTATTAACTTGCATATCCTGAAATTCTGTTGTCACATCCCCCCCCGCCGCCCCCCCCCCCCCCGCCCCCCCCGACAAGCACCAGTCAATCTAATTGACTGCAACACAAATACACACCATTAAAATTCACACATATGTCTAAGACATAACACATTTGAGTTGAAATTTTAAGACAGCATAAATTAACCTTGTACATGATGTTTCCTAATGCACATTCCTTTGTTGCTTGCATTGTTTATTGCTTTGTTTATAGTTATATTATACAACCTTATATTGGTATATTGTTTACTTGACCCTTGCTTCCTAACATAAGGATATGTACTAACATATTGAGAACCGCTGTACCACAGTCAAATTCCTCGTGTCCAACACACCTGGCCAATAAAGCTGATTCTGATTCTGATATCAATTTTGCTGGTTATGCACATGAATGATAAAAAATACACTATATTAAAGTTGTACAGTAAATCTGTTACTTGAGAACACTTTATTGTCTAAAAGGTATCAAGTTAACTACAGGCATGTTTACTTTGAAAACACAGTGGAGTGGTTATACCTGAGGTTTCCATTAATCCACTGGTCAAAAATGCGGGAGGATTCATTTAGAGCCTGCTCATCTTCCATCTGACAAGCGATACTAAGCACGGTCTCCCTCAGTAACCTGGCAAACACATTCAACCACCAATTTTATATTGAAAATTAAAGTTAGCATTAGCATACAAGAATTAGAACCATTTTTGACAATAACAGTGTTACTGTTATCAAATTATAGTCCCTGCTGTACCTCTGTGTCTGTGTTCCTTCATCATTCCATCCAAGTTGTGTTGCAATTGGTTTCACATGGTCACGAAATAGTTTCTAGAAAAAAAAGAAATCTCTTTAGAGAAAAATAGTGCTGCACATTTGGATTTTCAGTATGATGGCTCAACAACTTAGTCGTGTAAGTAACATTTGTAGCTTGTTTGCACAGATGGGTCTTACAGAGAGACTGATCATATCCATGTGTCTGAAATAACCTTTTTTGTAACTAATTTGGTGGCACATGCATGAAGTTTATGGTAACATTGCATAATTGGCCTGGCGCATTATTGGTACTCTCATCAGATCTTTTTGTTATTTTTAGATCAATAAAGATAAGTTCATTGGAATGAATAGAAGCATCTGTTTCTTTGAACCCTAATAGATTTAAATATCTTGGTGTTTTCAATTCCCCCAACCTTTCTCAGGTAAACAAATAAAATTTTATGCCACAACTAAAATTTAATCAGACCTTCACAAATTGTTAAACATATGAATATTTTTACTACACTGTGCTTTAAATATTGAAAATTAATGTCCTACTTCATTATTTGGTTGTGTCCGATACAGATGGTTCCTGCTATAAATTCTATTCAAATCAATATATAGTGCATTTCACTGAGAATGTTGCACACCCACCACATCATTATATCACTGACTTCATTTATGTTAAAAATTATATTTAGCTGCCCACTTACCTGAAACTTTGGGTAGAGTTTATCATTTGCTGACAGCATGTCTCGAACATAAGCGATAGAGGCAGCCACACGGACCCAGACTATGTAGTCGGTCTCCTTTGTCAGGTATTTGGTAAGTTTGAGAGCATTACTGTAATCTATAACGTCTGCCCTGAATAGTAAACAGACAAAAGTATGCAAATAACTGGTGACATTAATCTTCATACTTTGTATTTTTTGTGGGAAATCTACCTTGCAAGAGCAAAAACATCATCAATGTAGCTTGTGCGATCAGCTGCATCAAATTCCTGTTTGAGAAAGAAAACTGAGTGAAATAAAATACTAACATAACAGTAACAGTGGTGGGAAACCTCAAGAAATGAAAGCATAATGTAAGCGAAGGCAATTATATATTACAGGAATTTAATGTTGGAGCTGGTGGAGGTGCAGCACTGTGTTCAAACTGCTCCCAATCTGCCTTATCAATATTTTCTTGTAGTGTTAAGGTGGTACAGAACGGCCACAGGAGTTTGTAATTTATGAAGAATACATTTTTAATACCTCTAAGTCTAAATGAAAAGGTGTAATATTACAAGAATAAAATAAATGTTTGTAATACAATTAGAATGTAGTAGTCATTTTATGAGAAAAAGTGATAACTTTCCAAGAAAAAGAAAACACCTATATATTATGATTACTTTGGGTTGATAAGCTAATTCCCAGTTTTAGCAAATTGTTCTCCTAAAACCATGGCAGAATGCTCATAAACCCATTCTTGTAATATTACGACTTTTATCACTAAATACTTTAGCTTATTTTCCTCATTACTGTGGCCTTATACTCCATTATGATAGTGCTGAACACAGCTAAAAACCACTCACCTAAAAATATAAACCTGGTCACATGCCAGCCTGTGTGTCTCTCCCTCTCCTTGGACTCTAGGTTGAGTGTCTAGGCATGGCTGGCGGGAGCAGCACAGCTGAAGCCCATGTGCCAATTATACTCTAGGTATTTAGTCAGGACAGTCTCCTCCTTGCCAGGGTGTTTTTTGCTGTTCACTGCTTGCTGGCCAACTTTCCTAATCAAAAGTTTTGTTCCTGTGATCTCTTGTCTGCCTGGTTTGTTCCTGTGAAACTCTGGTTATTTTTGTCTCTCTCCTGTTTGGCAGTTTTTCGGTTCCCATATTGCCAGCTCCCTGTGACACCAGTTACCCGCCGGCTGGTAACTCTCTACCTGGTTTACTCAGTCACACTATCCTCAGCCTGACAGAGCTCCTCTGCTCAGCTAGCACCACAACAATGTGGTCTCCACTCCAGCTTCCCCCTCTGCTGGCTCAGCACATCCCTGACAACCCTGCTCCATCCCCCTGTCCTGGACCAGCCTCCAGCCTCTCATTCCTAACACCCCCAGACTGAACAATAACTCCTATGCCTGTCCTTAGTGTCTAATAAAGAGCCCTGTTTTCTAGTGGTCAAAGTCCTGCTATTGGTGTCCTACCCTGTGCTTGTGGCCCCAGGCCCTAGCAGAACTGACTGGCCAAGACATGGACTTTGCAGGCTCGGACCCAGGCCAGCTGTCCATGCAATCCATTTTGTCGCACCGGGGGGTATTGCTTGGATAGCTGGTCCAGTCTCAGCATTGGGGTGCAGAGGCTATACAGTCCTTAATGAATGAGGTTTCCCATCTGACTAGTCAGTTAACAGTTTTCTCATCTTGAGTACTGGGTCACCCTTTGGCCCAGAACCAGCAGCTGGCGACTGCTGCCATCAGCTGGCCCCTTCTTTTAGGCATGGACAAAAAGTTTGGCTGTCTGCTGAGAACATCCCACTAAAGGATGTCACGCGTAAGCTAGCCCTGAGGTTTCTAGGGCAATTTTATCATTGACAAGGCCATCAAACTCGCAGCGGTTAAGCTATGTTTACCCCGGTCCTAATAGGTGCACCCTACCTTCCATGTCTCACAAATTAAACCTGTTTCTGAAAGCACTTTGTAACAGGTACAGTCCTACTCAACTACTATTTTTAAACATAACATAAGCTGCAGTATGATTTTAGTGTTTGTGTTCTCCATCACACAACACCTGAGCTAACAGTGCATTCAACCAAAGTTCAATAAGAGTCAAATCAATGCATTAAACAGCACAGCAGAAGATGAGGATGAGCAACTTTACATACATACTGTAGTGTGTACAGATCAGAGGACAGCTTTACCAAGTGGTTTTTTTGAAGCTGTTCACTGATAGCATTCCACATGTGGTCATCATGGTTGACTCTGTAGAATCCAGTATGATCACTGTTAACCTTCAGCAGCCCGTCCACTGAGGGTGTGTAGTTAGTGATGACATGCTCTGAAAATCAACACAGCTATAATGAGTATATTAATGAACACAGACATTTTGGCTGGATGACTGCACTATAAAATATAGACTCTATGAGTATTTATTAGGGAAAAACAACAACAAAACAATTTTGTTCTTCCTTTCCTATGCATTTGTTGGGTGTCTTATTTTTTCTCACTATCAGGAAGGCTTTTGACATACTAGAGTCGTCAGCTGGCTTAAAGGCTGGGTGCTTATTGTGTGCTTTTCATGATTTTTAGACTTTTGAAGATTACACAGTAGTTGATAGCTGAGCAGACTACCTATGCTGTTCTTGTCAAACAGAGTCATCACTGTCCTGTTGCTTTTCAAAGCGTGCCATTTGACAGGAATCATCCACTTGTACCTGTGGAAAAACATTTGTTGTTATCAATGCACTGGCATACAAAACCAAAACATACAGTAAAATGTTACATCTTTTTATGCCATTTTTAAAAATGCATCTTCATTTGATTCCCTAAATTTCTTAACCTCTTCATTCTTAACTTTGCCTTCATACATTGTTTTCTGGTTTTAGTATGGTATTTCTGTTACATATTGTTTCGTCTTAAATCTGACTACCTATGTAAAAGAGACTGTTGACGTCAGTGGGATTCACCTGATAAAATAATGGTTAAATACAGTATTTTTAAAAAGCTGCATATTTGATTAGATTGTCTTTTGATGTAGCTCTGTAGCTGCTGGTCTCTAAAGCTAGATTTATACTTCTGTGTTAAAGGACTACATCATACCTACAGCAGCTATGATGTAGCTGACATGCACCTCCGCAAAAATATAACATTGCATCAAAAGAGACAAATTGTGGGGAATAAAAGACATGCCTGTGCATTCCATGGTTCTGCTGCTGATGGAGCCGAGGGTGAAGACAACATTAAGGAAGCTAAAGAAAGACTCAGTTGTCTCCTTTTCAGTAATAAATATAAAAAATCCGATAGTGTTGGGAATATAATTCATGATATGAACTGATCATATACAACACATGCGTTTAGTATTGCAGACATTATATTAGATAGGTTAAATCCAGTACTCAAATATAAATCCAAATCTACACAACAGATACATACAAGGACTCCTACTGTCACTTGCATAGACTATAAACCCATCTTACCCCTGTAAAGCCCAACATATCAAAAAATAGCCAGAACATTCTATTTTTTTGGAACTGAGATGTTTATTAAACCTTTTAACAAAATCCAAAATATAATTCACGGTTCAAAATTCAAGATTCACGATTTTTATTTGCCATATCTGCATAGACAGACAGTCCAGGCATATAGGGATAGAGGTGCCATATTATTTAGATTATTTCTATTTCTTTTGTATCACATTTGATACATGGGGCATTTTGGTGATTTTCTTTGCTCAGAAACCTCACATATCAATGGTTAACCCCTATGGTTTTATGGGGTTAACTGAGCTTGTCTGCTGTTTGGTGCTGTGATGACTGTGTACAATGGGCAGATCAGATATTTGTTATTAAAAATAGCTGCTGCTAGAAGACTGGTTGACCTTGCACTTGTTAACATTCTCCTGCTGGTGGGTCAGTCTCAGTTCATCTAATAAATCTAGGCATGTAGAGCATAGCCCATGCTGTCCTGCCGATGGGACTGCTGCAAAATTTTGTTTATTGCCTTGAGCATATGAGTGCCCGAGTAGCTTTCTCTCTCTTCTCCTCCCTGTTCTCCCATTGTTACACAGGTTCTCTGTGCTGGACCATCAGCCATCCTGGATCCTATTGTTTTTTGCACTGTTGGTGCCTGTTCAAATGTCTGGATCTGGATCTTCTTTTCATGCCTTACCCAAGCAATGAAGGGGGCTGGCTGGCATCAGCTTGAGGATCCAGGAGGAAACGCTTTTGGCTCAGTGTGGCATTCATCTCTAAGACAGATAGGCTGAGCACAGGATAACCCATCTGTTTGGTCCATGTGTTCATTACCGCTGCAACTGGGAGCCCACTCACCTGGGTACAGAGAGGGAAAATTAAGTACTCTTTGTGCCAAAGACAAGGCCTACAGAAGTGGGAACAGCTTTGCCTGAGGAATTAGCTCAAATTCACATAAGTGGCCTCGATCTGCTTTGTTTATTGTTTTATAACCCTATCAAAGACAAAAAGTGATTTTTATATAAGTTACAAACCCCAACTTTAAAGTGGTTTGTTTGGTTTTGTTTTGTTTTGTTTTAGTATTAACATTTTAGAGAAGTACACCATGTGTTTCAATCTCATATTTGTGTGTTAAAATAAGTACAGCGCTGGAATCAGTGCTGGTTAGTTTAGCTTAACATAAAGACTGGAAGCAACCTGGCTCTGGGCAAAATTCAACAGTACACCTACCTCCTACATTGCAACATCACATTTGGTTTTATTCCATGCATATAAACATAAAAATTACAATTTGTGGTTTATGTGCTGGAACTATTTTTTGTTGAATAACTGCCAGGCAAAATGACTGTACACACCTTTGTGGCCTTGAAAGATTATAATTAATGGGTCTATAGTTACAGGCACTTAAACCAGTACAGGTGTGTCTGTATAGAGATCAAGAACAAAACCTATGCTCACTGATCATATCTAACATGACATTAACATTATATTTATCTTTTGCAAAAGGGAATTTCTTTCCAAGAGGTTGGCTCTTTACTTTGATAAGTGGGTATTAATCTGGTCTTGTACAGAAACTGATAAAATTTTAAATGTTCAAGCATACACTGGCAAGAGATTCCCAGAAGTCGGCTGTTTTGGCATTCTTGAATTTGTAGTCTTTCAAGTATTTCTGGTGAAAGAAGAACGACAAAAAGAGAGGAAAAACACTTTCATCACTCAGCTGCTGGAACACTTGACACATTTAGGAATATTAAAGAGGCACATCTATTGTCACGTATGTGCCATGAAGCTGTAACAGTCTCTGACTAACTTGACAGCCAGCTCTGAAGACGTCTTTACCCATCCAGTCCTCCAGCATCCTGAGAATGGATGCTCCCTGTAAAATGTTGGATCATTTTTATTACAATTAGTATGGTGTTGCATAATACATGATGCATTTTGTTTATATTTCATCGGTAATGTAACATCATAATGTAATGTGTCATGGTTCCCATTGAAACAAGGTTTTCTGAAGTTTTCTGAAACGTATACTCTGAGGTTTTCTAGTGGTCATACCTTGCTGTATGAGATGCCATCAAACACTGAGGTGATCTCTGCTGGGGTCGACACATTCACAATGATCGGATGTGAGGAGAGGAGGGCATCATCCACCATTACAGGAAGCACATCACTGATGATCATGATGTCTCGCTGTATCCCAGAGGTGGACACAAGGTTAGTATTGTCTGTGTATTTCATGTTCCCAAAATGACTGGTCTCTTGTCAATGTCTTGTAATAGTTTGGCACATTTTTGTTGTTCCTTTAAAACAGAACTCACCATGCCCCAGCTAGGGTGAGCTTTCTCCACACCGATGTACTCAAAAAAACTGGCAAAGCCCTCATTAAGCCAGAGGTCATCCCACCAGTCCATAGTCACAATGTTCCCAAACCACTGGAAAAAGACAATTGCCATGAGCACTGAGAATCCAAACAGAGGAAATGACACATGGAATTTTCAGGATAAATTAACCTACCAATGGTCCCCAGGGTAAAAAAAAAAAAAAAAAAAGATATTAAAAGTCCGTGAAACACACTCCCTGCACAGATGCTTTCAGTTAAGATCTTCAAGCACTGTGAGCTTTAGTTTGAGTTTTTTAGCATGTTTTTTTACCACAAAACCCATACCATTAAATATTACCTATAACTAAATCTTCATGCAATACATTGACAAGAGAAGAGCTAACAAAAAAGATTAAAACTAAAGAATCCATTGAAATCTCTATTTTTGTTAACAAATTGACAAACCATTGAATGGATGCTCACATGAACGCACAACTGTCTGGAGATTATGATCATTCAAGGAAATCCTTAAACTATCATGTAATACTTAATTTTGTTAGAAAAAATGTCTCACGAGCAAGAGTTTGCGTGACATGTAAAAACTGAGTTGCTTCTGCATAGAAATACTAGAGCCTACATTCACCTCATTTTTTGAGCTTTGGGTCACATCTAAGATGATAATTCACCGTTGTGACATTGTAGATAAGTCAGAAAACAAGGAAATGCACCATGGGTTCTTTAAACAAACATACAACAAACCAAAAATGGTACAATATTCACGTTTTATTGATGTTGACCAAGTTTTCAACCTCTGACCTCTATATTTGGCATCAAGGACTCTATTACAACCCTCTACACTGTGGTGTAGGAGGCAAAGTGTATGATCTAATTAAATCAATGTATTTAGAAAATATGTGTGGCGTTAAAATTGGAAACAAATTAACTCGATTCTGCACCCAAAGAAGAGGTGTGTTTCAGGGCTGCAATTACAATCTGACTTTATTGACTGTGTAAATAATCGAACTTGCTATTCAGTTGAATCAACATGCTGCTCCTGGCATCTCCTCCCTAGACAGAGAGGTCAAGTCTTTGTTTTGTGCTATGACCTTGTTCTACTGTGTCCTACTAAACAAGAGTGTCAGCAACAGCTGGACACTATACTAAGGAATGTATGTAGAAAATGTGAATATGAATGTAGAAAAGTACAGTATGGTGGTGAAGTTTGGGGTCCACTCAGCCCAGCCATCATAGTTATACTCATTGGGACAAATTAAAATTCAATTTTATTTGTATAGCACCAAATCACAACAAAAGTATCTGTAGACACTTTACAAAGTCAGGTAACCTTACTATTATCACTGTTATTATAGAGGAAAACCCAGCAAATCCTCCTTGAGCAAGCACTTGGCGACACCGGGGAGGAAAAACTCCCTTTAACGGAACAAACACCCAACAGAGTCTTTACATGCAGAATTCTGCAGATGCATTTAAGATGTACAAAGAAAACACCAACAAATGCATGTGGAGAAAAATTAGGCAGATACCCAGTGATAATTAACAATGAAAATAGAGCACTAACATGTTTAACCATCTTCAGTCCAGCCCTCCCGACACCTTCAACTCCAAATCTCTCCAAACCCAAGGGCTGAGCTCAAAAAAAGAGATGCCTCTGTCAGTTGATGCTGACACTAACTGCACCCTCTCAGACACTATGGGCAGTCTCACAACAATACTGCTTTCCAAACAGCAATCAGAGTAAACCAAATCATAAAGCAATGTAAAGAAACCTATCTGAAATGCTGGGAAGAGGAAACTAAAAGCCAAAGGAGATCAGAATGTTATCTGGCTCTAAAAAGAGACTATGAATTAGCAGAATACCTCTCTACTGTCAGAGATAAAATCCAGACACAGATCCTAACCAAGTATAGGCTCAGTGAACGCAAATGAACAATAAGAAAAGGAAGACACAGAAAATCATGGCAACCAAAAGAAAACAGAATATGTGGTCACTGCGGAGACAGAGATACACTTCTAATGTTAATCATTCAGTGAAATAAGGAAACGTTTTTGAAAAGTTCAACTTTGTAATGTCCAGTTTCAAAGAGCATAATGACATTTCAAAATTAAAAATACTCCTGAGAGAAGGAGACAGGGCAAATATCACTGCCCAGTATGTCTCAACCTGAGGGACAGTGAATGACCTAGACACACAGGGCACACACATGCATATGATATACTGTACATGTATCCATTCATCCATTACATATATTGCTTATCCTGTAGAGGGTGGTATGGTGAGAGGATGCCAGTCTATTACCAGAGTGACACATAGAGACAGACAACCAGGCACACTCACATTCACACCAATGGGCAAATCAGAGTCGCCACTCAACCTAAGCTGGATGTCTTTGGACTGTGGGAGGAAGCCGGAGTACCCACAGAAAACCTATGCAGGCAGGAGGGAACATGCAAACACCACACAGAAGTCTCCAGTCAGATGCAAGGTTCAAATCCTTCTTGCTGTGGGGCAACAGTGCCAATTGGTGCACCACCCTGCCACTCCTCACAAATCCCAATTACTGTAAATCCCTGAACAGTTCATAAATGCTCAATAAGGCAAGGCCTCTTATCTTCTATCTTGATAACAGAACTGATACCTGAGAAGTGTTCCTGGATTGTGCATCATAAAAGGCTTGAACAATATCAAATAAAGAATTATAATCTTTTGTGATTCTAAACTCAGAACTCTTTTTGTTGGCATTTCACATTTGTGTGTATAATAAATAAAAAGCCATTATTAACAAAACTCTTGCAAGATGCTGGTCCATTACATGCTGCCAGAACAGTGTTAGTGTGCCTTGGCATTGATTCTACAACTCTACTGGAGAAATGAATGCCATTCTTCCAAAAGATGTTCCCTAATGTGATGTTTAGATAGACAGAAACTTTACTGAAGTTGCAGATGTATTTATAGTTGTGTTCTCCTCTTCTGAAGTAGAGAATAGTATTTGAATTGAGAAACTTATTATCTGTTATTTCCATTAAAACCATAATACTACCCATTTCATCCACCATGATCACACTGGTTTCATAAAAAACATGCTTGGCTGTGTACAAATTTCCTTAATACAGCAACTGAGGTCCCTTGAAACATTGCTATATTTACTATTTGTCTTGGCATCATGAAAGGCATTTAACTGTATGTAGTGTGAGGTCAGAAGAAGCATTTTATTTTTTTGCTCCAATCATACTGCCATGGTTGTGTAATTGTTCACTAGCCCTAGTGATAAGAAATAGCTTTTTACACTTTACAATCACTTGTATGACGTTGTGGAGTGCTGTTTTTTTATCTTTATTGTTTTCTTTATCATCATCATCACTGGCACAGGCAATCTCTTTATCTGAGCTTGCATACTGTGATGGCCCTGTGGTGCGTTGTTTGGTGTGTATGTTCATGTGTTCATTTGTTCTTGTTTGCAGGTAGCAGTCACGCCATGAGGTGGACAACCAATGAGTGGGAGCACCTGGCCAGTGTTCTGATGCACATACAGTGGGTACGGAAAGTATTCAGACCCCCTTAAATTTTTCACTCTTTGTTATATTGCAGCCATATGCTAAAATCATTTAAGTTCATTTTTTTCCTCAATGTACACACAGCACCCCATATTGACAGAAAAACACAATTTTTGACATTTTTGCAGATTTATTAAAAAAGAAAAACTGAAATATCACATGGTCATAAGTATTCAGACCCTTTGCTGTGACACTCATATATTTAACTTAGGTGCTGTCCATTTCTGCTGATCATCCCTGAGATGGTTCTACACCTTCATTTGAGTCCAACTGTGTTTGATTATACTGATTGGATGTGATTAGGAAAGCCACACACCTGTCTACATAAGACCCTACAGCTCACAGTGCATGTCAGAGCAAATGAGAATCATGAGGTCAAAGGAACTGCCTGAAGAGCTCAGAGACAGAATTGTGGCAAGGCACAGATCTGGCAAAGGTTACAAAAAAATTTCTGCTGCACTTAAGATTCC